GTCTTTGCACCCTATGGCCTTCCTCAGGTATCCATTGATCAAGTTAAAATTCAGGAAATTTCTTGATTTAATCTCTGGCACAGATTGTTTTCATTCTGCTGTCCATGTTTATCGATATCTTTTTTATTTTTTTTTTAGTATTGCTCATTTATTACACACCGTGTTTCTACTTACTACCCAGCACAGGGGCACCTCTAGGCGGTGTAATGGTTAGCAAGTTTGTCTCGCTAGAACAATTACAACTGAGTAGTAAATTTGATCCTCACTGAGTGCCCCCTACTTTCAGCCTTGTGCCACATCTAATCTACAGTTGAAAAATCACTTTGGGTACCTTGAGGCAGTGTAATGGTTAGCAAGCTTGTCTCGCTAGAACAATTACAACTGAGTAGTAAATTTGATCCTCACTGAGTGCACCCTACTTTCAGCCTTGTGCCACATCTAATCTACAGTTGGAAAATCACTGGGTACCTTGAGGCAGTGTAATGGTTAGCAAGCTTGTCTCGCTAGTACAATTACAACTGAGTAGTAAATTTGATCCTCACTGAGTGCCCCCTACTTTCGGCCTTGTGCCACATCTAAGCTACACTTGGAAAATCGCTACTACCCAGCACAGAGATTGAACTCACAATAAATGTCACCAAATTCACAAATCTATACTTTAATCATCTACGAAAATTTTGGAACATATTTTATGACCTATTTCTTGGGCGTCACAATGGATCACAGTTCAGAATGAGAAATCAGAGAACCGAGTTCAAATTCCAGTCAAGTTTGTTACATTCACTTATGCACAAATACGTTTGGAAAAGGTATGAATACATATTCATGAATCCTCTCATCTATGGGTTAAATAGTAAAGCAGACTGGTCTTTTTAGCCTTGGTTGGCAATGAGTTCAGGAAAAAGGGGCAACTCCGAATTCAAAACTGTATTTAGCCCTACATACTACGTCACTAATGACAAAAACAATGATTTTCTAATCTCGAATGACGGCTTGATTCATATTTGAACATCACGTTATGGCCACACCACATTGAAACACCAGTTCCTGTATGATCACTGAAGTTAAGCAACATCATCTGGTCAGTACCAAGATGCGTGACCGCTTGGGAATACCAGGGGTTGTAAGCTTGGATGTATAGGTGATATAATGGAGAGAAGAAAAGAAAATGAATACTGAGCTGTTATGTGACATCTGTTCTTCTTTACAGCAGCGAATGTTGGATGATTTCCTCAAAGATGAAGAAGAGACTTGAGACGATGGAGATGTGGTTCTACAGAAGGATGCTAAGGATATTGTGGACCAAGCATGTGAGCAACAATTGGGTCTTAGAGAGGTTACAAACAAGGAGAAGGCTTATACTTAGCATCAGGAAGAGGCAGCTTAAGTTTCTTGGACACATAATGAGAATCTGATACTCACGTGGTCGAATAGAGGGAAAGAGAGACAAGGGAAACCAGCATATGACATTCCTGGCAAGCTTGAGCAGATGGATGACAGAACGTGGTCTGGGGAAGGAGCTTGCTGAGAGCAGCAAGGGATAGAGGGAGAGCCATAATCACCTTTAAAGGAAGAATGGCTTATGGCTAGCAATTGTTAACTCAAGAGCCAAGTTCCAATTCCAGTCAGGTTCATTATATTCACTTAGATGCAAATATCCTTAGGAAAGGTATGAATCCACCTCTTCTAACCAAAAGTCCTGAAAAGTCCTGGGTATGACAATAAACTACATCTACGTCCTGGGTAAGACGATAAACAGCAAGGCCTCTAATCAGGAGGTTTTGAGGAGCATGGAACCACCTCTTAATTACTGGTGTTCCCAGGTCCACCCTGATCCAAGGTGGTAACACCTGTTAGGGTCCCAACTCTGGGCAAATAGTTAACCCCCAAACTTGGGTCAAAACACTATGAAAGTGTAAAAATATGTTTTAATGCCAGAGATACTTTGTAAAAAATTATTACCAGCAATAAATTTTTAAAGAAAAATTATTACAAGCATTACATTATTAGCAATAAGAATCTTGTTGGCATTAAATAACCCATTGAGGTTGATATGCTGTAAAACAAACCAAACCAAGCCAGAAGCTGGTTAATTAGTCAGACTTTTATAATTAAATCATTATTATCTCCAAAACAAAAAAAAGATTCTTAGAATCTAAAAATATTTTCTGGCTTTAAATAACCTTCAAAGTTTGATAAGTCATAAAAATCAAATCTAGCAATTTTTAATATCAGACAAGCATTAATTTTGAATATTTTATTGATAATATACATGGAAAAGACTAAAATATCATATGTGCTCACACATTGTGTCAAAATGCAATTTATTCTTGTCTGAGATATATATATATATATATATATATATATATATATATATATATATATATATATATATATATATGTAAGCAAATATATGGATATAAATCCGACAGTATGAAAGAAAAAAATACTGAAAAAAAAAAAAATTCTAAATATGCATTATTAATGTTAAAATAAAATCGACGTCGGACGTTTGGGTCTATTTAAGACCATCTTCATGGACATTTTCATTTAAACATAATTAACATTATAACAATTTAACACAAAGACGATGGACATAAGAGCCCAACTAATTCAGACAGATAACTGAAATTTTATACAGATCAGCGTTCTGTTTAAAATATGATCACCGCGTTGTAAAATGAAGATGATTTCAAAAAAATTAAAAATATCAAAAAAATCGAATGAAAAATTTTTATAAACAATTATGTTGTTAGATTAAGACGCTTATATCTTCAACAAGCTTGAAAATTTTTTTTCCCGTTAAGATGATTTTAAAAAAACAGTTAAAAAATATCAAAAAGATCCCTCGTCCAATGAAAAATTTTTATAAACAATTAAAGAAATATTTTCCGTTGATGTTGGAAAAAATATGGATATATCAATGGTTCTTATATCTTCAAAAAAACAAAATTCTGAATATCTTTCCCGTAATGGAAAAAGAAAAATCAATGAAGATGTTTCTTAAATAGACCAAACGTCTTCATGGACATTTTCATTTAAACATTTATTTAACAATTTAACACAAAAGACGATAATAATGCATATTCAGAATTTTGTTTTTTTTTTTATCAAAAGTTTTTTTTTATAAACAATTTCATATATATATATATATATATATATATATATATATATATAATAATGCATATTCAAATTTTGTTTTTTTTTTTCAGTATTTTTTTCTTTCAAAATATATTCCACTTAAAATATATTCCACGGACCATTGGCGCTAAAAGGTTAATAAAACTGACCTGCAATATGATCAGTTATATAAACAGCTAGAAATATATAATTAAAATTATGGGGCAGCCACATAATGGAAGACAATTGAGCAAATTTATATTATATATTCTATAAGTTGTCTTTTGATATTTCACAATGATAATATCAAAATAAAAAACAGCAAAAATGAGTCTGCGGTTCAACAGTTAAGACTAAAGCCATATATTTTATTAGTTGCATGTATCTGTTGTGAAGAGTTTGTCTGTTTTATATACACCGCAACGGTTTTCATGTTGAGCCCTCAAACTTGATATGTATTCTCCCAAGGGAAAGTTTTAATGTAATCTTTTTTACTTTGAAAAAGCAATTTCACAGAATAATTCCCCCAACCAAAACAAAAAAAAAACTGAAAGAATGCATATATATATATATATATATATATACACACTATTTTTCTGAGTATTTTACCATTGGAAAGTTACCAAAAATAAATCAAATCTATTTTGTTTTTCTTTTAGACTAATCATGTAAACAAAGACATTGTCTATATTAACGAACCTTGACTAATGACAATAAATTTTTCATTGACAGCAAAGATTGTAAAATAAACATTTATTTATGCATTTTATTGGTTTCACTTTGCTATAACAAGTTAGGCTGGACTAATTTTTTTGCACTATATAACAATATTCTAAATATGCCTGTCTTCTCAAGTGGCTAGTTAATCCCTATTGCAGATGCACATTTGTGTATCTGCAGGTAACTGCTCAGGCACATTTATGTTTTTTCAACACCCACAGAGTTAACTTTTAGTTTATACCAGGTGTGTGAAACTGATGGGCAGCATGCAGCCTTTTACATCTTGATGGCCCTCACAAAGGTTTTTCTAGCCATGGTATATTGAGAATTTTGTCTATGTTGGTATGCAAATTATTAAAAACTCTGACATTTTTTTTCAATTGGCATGATTGTTTATTTTATCTCAATGTTTTTTGTTTTTGAATGTCAGTGATTACTTTTAACTTTGCATTATTCTCAGCACCATTCACTTTTGATGTTGCTCAGGCAGAGGAAATTCTACAGATGGAACTACTGGAAATGTAGACTGACTCAACACTCAAGGGATAGTAGGGGTACCCGGATTTTTTTCATACCTTCCTCAAACATTTAAGAACTTCAGAATATATTACATATGTCTGTAAGCAGTTAATTTTGTTTATGAAGGCCACAGAAACATCTTGCAGAACCAGATTAACTGATGAACATTTGTCATCTTTGACCACAGACATTCCAACCTGATATATCAAGAATAGTTTGTCTTACGCAATGCCAATCATCAAGACAAAAATGATTAAATTGTACTATCTTGTATTGGAAGTACTTTGTATTTAAAGTTTAGTTACCACAAGCTGTGATTAATATAAGACTGTAAGCAGGTGCGGCCCTCAAGCTGCAGATATGGCCACTGCAGCCCTCTATATGGCCTGAGTTTGACATGCCTGGTCTATACTACAACAATGTGAAGCAGACTTTCGTTAGAGCCTCTAGGAGAGAGAGTGCACAATCTGGCATGATAAGTAGTTGAAAAGGCCAGTTTACTCAAACCCTTGGGGACAATTACTTGCTAGCACCACCATCAGCAATGTCTGAATGGTTTCTACCCAATTTCCTTCACAGGGCTTGAGTCAACCAATAACATGGTCTTCAGGCACCTCACTGCAGAGCTGTATACTGAGATCATTTCTTCCCTTCCCTGGCTGATCGTATCAAGAAGGCATCTCCTTGATAAATCGACCATTGTGAGATTTGAACTTAGGTCTCATAGTTGGAATGCTAGTGCTAGATACTTGGCTATGTGCCCTACATGCACACACATGCATGTATATGAATAAAAAGACAAGGAAAAACTATTCTTAACCAACATCTTTCATCCTCTGGGGGACATTATCAAGGCAAATATAAGGATTTCTTTTGTTGCATGTGTTTACATACAAGAGCAAGGATGTCATTGGTTTATCAAGGCTTTTTAATTTGAGAATGTTCATGAATATTCATCAGGTGGTTGAAAGGTCAGTCAAAACATATGGAGGATTCTAAGTGTCATAATTCAAAATCTGTTGAGACGAATGTAAGCCAGTAATATTCAAGAATTTTTTTTCCTTCACAGATTTACTATCTGAAAATAATTTACACACCCACGCATATATGTGTGTGTGTATGTGTAAAATAGGCATCTAAATGTAAAAAAAATTGGTCTGAAGGTATCTTTCAAGAATGAATTAGGCTGTTGCCACTTGGTGTTGATCTCAGTGTCCACTTTTCTATCCCTGATATTGAGCACTTTTACCCATAAATATAGTACACCTTAAAACTATATTTTTATCCTTTTACATTATATACCTCCACAGATTCATGATGGCTAAGGTTTAAAATGAATTTTTAAAAATGGACAAATCTTTCTTGAAGCTTTTATTTTAAATTTAATATTTCAATTAAACAAAATACTTTGCTGAATTTCAAAATTAATTTAAATTGGCTAGGAGGAGTTTCTGTTTTGAAATTGCTGATTTTAGCTCCATTTTTAACTATCTTTCATTGGAATGGAATTCTCTTTATTGAAAAAATCTTTCAAAAATAAAATATATTTTTCTGAAACTTTATTTGAGGAATATTAGCTGAACTTTTCAATTAATCTGATTTGAAACAAATATTACTTACTTTTAGTTTAAATATCACAGAAAAGTATTTTTTAACACAACAGTAACTGTTTAAGGTGTTAAAAGCATGACTGAGAGTCATGTTTTTCTAATGTGGACATATCTGTAAAATTTACTTGAGAAATATAACTTGAGAACCTTAAATAATCTTTAAAATTTAGAAAAATACTCTCATTAATATAATGTTTAATTGAATTTTAGGTACTTTAGCTTTAAATTTACTTTAGTTGTTGCTCTTATTTTCTGAATGTCATTTATGGATGCACATATTTACAAAAATCAGCAAATTTATAAAAAAAAAAAATATTAATTCTTAAAAATTTTTTTTTTTAAATTTTAGTGGTCAATGAATTGTTCTAAGCTTTTTCATTTATAATTAGTAAATATAGTTTTTACTTAATAACAATATCACCTAACCAGGACAAAGTAATAAACAAATTTAAAACTTTCTAAATTATTCTAATTAAAATTTTTTAAAAATGAAAACAATTTTTATAAAAATTCATTATTCATTGAAAAAAAATTGTCCATAATATATCTTATTCATAAAAGGCAATTAAAAGTTGTCTAATTAAATAATATCTTAGTTTTATTGCATTTTTTATTTTATGATTCAGAGCGAATTTTCTGTAACTTGTCATTTTTACAAAATGAAATTGATGATGTAAATTCTCCAAGGACTTCTGCTTTTAACTAATGTAAACGTTAAGTGGCACAAAATTTAATTTCTTGAAATTTCATAAAATTAAGTGTGTGTGTGTGGGGGGGGTATTTTTACCAAAAATTTTCTAAGAAAACATTTCTAAATTTATTCATTTGTGAATAAGTCCTGAAAGTTTCATTAAAATCTAACAATTGCTTGATTTTTACAAGAGTTTCCAAATCAATGTGTTTTCAATGCAAAAATGACACTAAAATTTCATGACAAAAAAAAAAAAACATGATTTTTAACCAAAATTTTGAAGATTCTAAAAAGTATCAAAATAGATAATCTAATAATCCAAAAAATCGTTTGGTTATTCTTCTTAATAATAACATAAAAAGTTACAGGATAAAACTTTATTTTTATTAAGTTTGGGGCATTTTTTCATCATGGTATGATAGGTTTTTGGTGAATTAGTGAGAGTACTTATTATATGTATATTAAATATGTTGGATTTAATCAATTACCTACGATAATATTTCAGAGTATTCGGAAAAGAATTGGATGAGTCTAATAGTGATTATGAAGGTACAGCACCTTGGAAAACTCCCGAATTTGTTGGTGAGGGCTTTAGACTCAACTTAGAGGCCTACAGTAGTGTTGCCCTGAATCAAGAGTATGGCTGCTGCAAGACCCCTATTTCTGGCAACAGGACTCTGCACCATGCCGCACAAGCAGGAGAAACCAGTCATATATATATATATATATATATATATATATATGTCTGTGTGCATGTGAATAAAGATAAAAGGAAAACTTTTACCAACATGTTTTGTCCTCTGATGGACTCTAGGCAAATATAAGGATTTTATTTTGCAACAATTATAGAAGTAAAAAATTATTAGGTTTTCAAAATTATTAAATTCAACAATGCTCAAAAATATTTTTCAAGATAACCATGTAAAGAAAAGTCATCCTTTTGTTATTATTCATATTGTCTTTCTACAGAGATATTTTTATTTCAATTTGAATTTTTTAGACACACACACGCACACACACACGTAAAATAATTTGTGTGTATGTTTGATTTTATGGCTTGTCAACTCTTTGTGTTATCAAGGCCAAAACATATTTTGGATTTTAAGAATTTTTTTTTTTTTCTCAAGTAAATATTGTATTAACAATTTTTTGAGAATAACAAGGGTTTTTCCAGTTTCAAGTTCTACTATTTAACCCATAGCTGGGAGAAGATTTGCATGTATTTGAATGTAATGGAGCCAGCTGGAATTTGAACTCTGCTCTCTGATTTCTCATTCCAAACTGCTATCCATCGTACCACCCACACATATGTTTCTGTATGTATGTGTATGTGCTCAAGATATAAGGCTGACTTATAAGGCTGTAAAAAAGAACACCCATTTCATCCACCCACCCAGTTTGCCTTGAGCTAGTGACTCAAGATTTAACTGACAGAAATAAGATGAATCAAATGCTGGTGATAATCCCTTTGAGTTTTACAAAAGTCCAATATAGGAAAGAAAATGTTCGGTCTTTATTTTTCTTTTCTTTATTTTTCTGTCAAGAGAAACTTGGAGGAAAGGCAGAGGCATAAATGAGATGGTTTGGCACCATCAACCAAAAATTGATGGCTCTGATGTCAAAAGAGTCAAAGAATGGCATTGAGTCAGCGCTTCAGGCCATGTTAGCAGTGTAAAGTTAAAAGACTCAAAAAGAAAAGGAAACAGAGATGAGAAAAGTTGGGGTACTTAACAAATGAGATTTTAACTTGTGGTTAAAAGTTTCAAAATTGATTATTCCATTTGTCTGTCTCAGATGGGATATGAATGCATAATAGTCATTTTGGTGTCAGTACTCTTTTGTCATGTAATATGAAAATTAATTTCATTTATTATTGATAAATCTATATTATAATGATCTGATTTTTGTTTGTGAATGAATTACCATAACAGTAAAAACAGCACATTGTAGAGAGACTTTTGTTAGAGCAATACCTTTTAAAATACTCTGACATGAATAATAAAACAATTTCTGGTATAATTTGCATAATAGTGTCTGTTCAGTGTTTTAAATAATATATATATATATATTTCTGCCTCTGAAAACAAGACAGAATATAGCATTAGTTTTTAATTGACAGGTGAGGTATCATATTGCATTTTAAATATGTTGACAGAATAATTTTTAAATAAAATTAATTATATTAGTTGATTTTTTATTTGAAATAAAAATGTCTTTGCTAGAAACAGCACAACGGTTATATTCATGATTTCCTCACCAGTTTAATGTGACTTCACTATAACTTTATGGTCCAAAATATATATTCTCCTGAAAATGATTTTCACAAGTCAAAGTAAAAATCAAGTAACTCTGATATTGTTACAGGCTTTTCTATGTACCATATCCCTTCTTTGTGTTTCTGATCATGTCTTGCCAGTCCTTTGTAGCTTTTAGTAAAGTTTGTATTTCTTGCTGTCCCTCCTAAACTTTGTTCTACCATCCATTTACACAAGCTCGTTACGCAAGTTATGCACTAGTTTCCACTGTCTGATGTCCTGTGAATGGCAAATTCTTCAAGCCTTCTTTTCTCATTATGTGCCCTAGAAATTTCAACTATCTCCTTCTGATGTTAACTATGTTTCCTATTTGTTTCCATTGACCTAGAATTTTGTCACTGCTCACATGTTCAGTTCATATTATTCTCAGTGTCCTTGGATAGAAACACTTCTGTTGTCTCAAACCTTTTCTTCATCTGTGAGAAGATTGTCCAGCATTAACTGCTATATAGAAGGACCAATGTTACATAACAGTTCAGTACTATTTTCTTTGTTTCTAATGTAATTTTCCTGTTTCTTAATACTTTACTTAGCTTTTGAAATTCATCTTTTGCTAGCCTTCAGATTTCAGTGTCACTTTTTTCGTCTTCTGTTAAAATACTTCCCAGATTTTTAAATTGTGATACTTGCTTGATTTTGACATCTCCAATTTGTTATTTGCATGTTGAGCTGTCCCTTTTGTTGACAACCATACATTCTATCTTCTTGCAATTGATGTTTAGTCCTTTCTTCTCCCTTTCCTTTATAACCTTCTCATCTTGTACTATTGATGGAATATTAGGAATAATATATTTTCAAATAGTTATATATATATAAATATTTATATTTATATTTATTCTTGTCTCCCAGCTTGGATATTTGAGAAATTTTATTAAAGAAAAATATACATTCTCAAGCAGGGTTTCAACCTGCATTAGATCCAACGTGCTTCAAACTCTCAGCCACAAAGTACATCAATGATAAAGCAAAGTTGCATGGTGTCTTTAAATGAAAATTTTTCCTGACACTCAAAATATACATCTCTGCTTAGTTTCATATACTAATATAAACAAAGCAATTATACATACATATATATATATATATATATATATATATATATATATAAAAAATGACAATAGGAAAACTGGTAATGGCTGACGTTCTTTTAGTCCAATGTGGACTTTATCAAAGCAAAATACGAAAAATGAAATTAAATGAACAAAGTAACTAATAAAAACAAAAACAGAATGTACCTAGCAACTGGAATGTAGAGAAAACGCTATTTTCATATTTTTTTAACTGAAAAAATAACGTCAGAGATTGTCACGTGTGGAGAATATTGTCATTATATCTGTGTTGATGTATTCAACCATTTTCTTTCGATTTTATGAATCTGTTGTGCATATTTGTTTGTAAGAGCATTAATTTTGTTAAGAAAGGTGAAATAGGGAAAAAGCCTGGGCGTAAATTAATATTTGGATAATTTTCTATGGCAGCACTCTCCAGAATTTTCCTTCTGAGTGAGTTATTTTCTTTTTTTATGAGTGTAGCATTTTTAAAATCAAAATTATGGTTGTATTTATTTCTATGTATGACTATTGCATTAGCTAAGTTGTTTTTTTGTGAGGTCTCTTTTATTGCTCATAAATGCGTTTTTTTCAAACTTCTACTTGTTTCTCCAATATATTGGGAGGAGCAGTTTTGGCAATTTATTTTATAAATGCCTGCTTCAGAAAATATTAGTGCTATTATTGTTTGAAGATCTTAGTATATCTATAATGGTTTTGGAAGTGTTTGTGGCTATTTCAAGATTATTTAGATGGGATAGGTTATTCTGGATCGTGGACGTGGCAGAATTGGTCGGTAGTATTGTGTTTCTCTACATTCCAGTTGCTAGGTACATTCTGTTTTTGTTTTTATTAGTTACTTTGTTCATTTAATTTCATTTTCGTATTTTGCTTTGATAAAGTCCACATTGGACGAAACGCGTCAGCAATTACCAGTTTTCCTATTGTCATTTTTATTCATAAATATTGTCATCTCTACCGATTAAATCGGAGAAATTTTCATATATATATATATATATACATACTTGGCTACATTGAGCTTTGTTTGATTAGGGGGTCCTATGTGGGTGAAATGGTCTAAGGCATGTCAGATCTAATGACCGTTTCCACAAGAGGACGCAGTTTCAAGTCCTGCTGGAGGACGCATAATTTTCTAAACAAGATTTCTCAAAATATTCAAGCCAGTAGATGTACATAAATAAAAACAGAGCATCTACTCAAATATGAGTATCCAGTTATAAAATAACATTTAAGCAAATAAATAAAAAAAAAAACTGTCAGATTTAATCTATTTCATATATATATATATATATATATAAACATGAAACTGACTGTCACCATACAGTATTGACCAGTGTCCACATGTATATTTACATATGCCCTATCTCTAATATTTACCAAATTTATCCATTGATAGTCAACCATAATGCTATGTTTTTATTGTGTGTGTATATATATATATATATATATATATTGGTTGGTTGTTTTATTTTATGGCATATCAGCCTCAGTGGATCATTTGAAGCCAACAAAATTTTTAAAATAGATACATAGTAATAGTTTGGTGAAAAATGTGTGTATGTATACATATATACATTTGAATCATTTTTCAATTACTCATATTTTTGAGTACAATCACATGTATTGCTGGTAATTTTTTTTTTCAAAAACGTATTGCTGGTAATAGTTTTTTTTTTTTTTCCAAAAATTAATTTCATGTAATAATTTTTTCAAAATATTTCTGGTATTAAAACCTATTTTTACACTTTTATGCTTTTTACCTCAGTTTTGGGGTTAACTATTTGCCCATAGCTGGAACAGGTGCTACCACCCCAGGTCAGGGTGGACCTGGGAACACAAGACATAGTTCCACGCTCCTCAAAACCTTCTTATCAGAGACCTTGCTTTTGGACGTAGTTTATTGTCTTACCCTGGACGTGAATGTAGTTTATCATCATACCTTGGATACTGCATTGGGGGCGTGCAGAGGTGCAGTCAGTGTATTCTACAGCCCCAGCCGACAGGGAATATATATATATATATATATATATATATATATATATATATATTCAAAACTAGAGAGCCAGACAAACTTACCAAGGTTTCACCTAAGCGGAGCTGCTCAGGGGAAACTTTGATAGTTTTGTCTGGATCTCTAGGTTTGACTAGGTCTGCTCTACTTTTGTATTGAGCACTTTTTTAGTTAGTTGATTACTTGTATCAGGGTTTTTTCTTTGGGCTTTGGACCTGTATGCTGTATGATTATTGTTGACAGATGTTCATGTTCCTAGCTGTTTTTTGTTTTTTTTAAACTTTTTTTTCCTTCGAAATTGATTTGATCATAAGTAAATCAAGAAACCGAAGGTTTTCGTGTAGTTACCTATCTATCTATCTATCTATATATATATATATATATATACACACACACACATATATATATATTCAAACTTGTTTCATTGAATAATATAGAAATATTATGTCTATTTATTTTTATAATAATCCTTTCTAGTTCTCTAATCAGTTTCTTGACATTAAGATGAAATTCATCATGTAAAGCGGCATACTTGAGTAGGGAAAATCTATGGTGCCTTTCTGGTGGATGTAATCCATGATTGTAGAGACTAACTGAACATGTGAAATGCAACAATCCATTTTAACACTTACTTGATCTAGCCAGGTGGTGGGAGTGGCCAATTCCAATCAGTTGACTGGTCACTCTATGCCTGAATACTATAAAACATCTGATCTTAAACTAGAATTTGTATCCTTCAAACATGTGTGTGTATATATATATATATATATATATCCCTGTCATGTTCAGGCAAATTGATTCCTCCTTAACATTTTTTGACCAACCTTCTTTTTCCTTGTCAATAACAAAAAAGAAAAAAAAAAAAAAGCTCATAAAGACAAAAAGAATTTAATGAAAGAAACCAGAATAAACGAAAGCAAAAATCCTCTTCAGAGTAAAAAACACAAATAGAAGTCATCAGAAATTCTATAAATCCTTTGGTTAAAACCAATCATTTCAAGACACTTGGAAAAATTGAAATACAAGACAATGCTGCATCTTCCTCCATGAATGGCTTCTAAACTCTTTTGTATGTCCAGTTTTAATCGCAACACTTGGGTGAACCATTTGTATGGTTTTACAGGCACTTCCCAACAGTGCCAAACACTGGGCTCATCTTCCCAACATTTCGACACACTGGGCTCGTCTTCCCAATAGTGCCACACACTGGGATCATTTTCCCAACTACAGACTGGGCTCGTCTTCCCTGCAGTGCCACCCACTGGGCTCGTCTTCCCTGCAGTGCCACCCACTGGGCTCGTCTTCCCTGCAGTGCCACCCAGTGGGCTTGTCTTCCCTGCAGTGCCACCCACTGGACTCGGCAGTGCCACCCACTGGACTCGTCTTCCTGCAGTGCCACCCACTGGACTCGTCTTCCCCTGCAGTGCCACCCACTGGACTCGTCTCCCTGCAGTGTGCCACCCACTTCCCCCTGCAGTGCCACCCACTGGGCTCGTCTTCCCTGCAGTGCCACCCACTGGGCTCGTCTTCCCTGCAGTGCCACCCACTGGGCTCGTCTTCCCACACTGCCACACACTGGGATCATTTTCCCAACCACAGACTGTCATCTTCCCTGCAGTGCCCCCACTGGACTCGTCTTCCCTGCAGTGCCACCCACTGGCCTTATCTTCCCTGCAGTGCCACCCACTGGACTCGTCTTCCCTGCAGTGCCACCCACTGGGTCTCAGTGCCACCCACTGGGCTCTTCCCTGCAGTGCCACCCACTGGACTCGTCTTCTGCAGTGCCACCCACTGTCTTTCCCTGCAGTGCCACCCACTGGGCTGCTTCCTGCAGTGCCACCCACTGGGCCTCGTCTTCCCAATAGTGCCACACACTGGGATCATTTTCCCAACTTCAGAATGGGCTCGTCTTCCCTGCAGTGCCACCCACTGGCCTCTTCCCTGCAGTGCCACCCACTGGACAGCAGTGCCACCCACTGGACTCGTCTTCCCTGCAGTGCCACCCACTGGGCCCTTCCCTGCAGTCCACCCACTGGACTCGTCTTCCTGCAGTGCCACCCACTGGACTCAGTGCCACCCACTGGGCTCTCTTCCCTGCAGTGCCACCCACTGGGCTCGTCTTCCCAATAGTGCCACACACTGGGATCATTTTCCCAACAGACTGGGCTGTCCCACCCACTGGGCTCGTCTTCCCTGCAGTGCCACCCACTGGGCCCCGTCTTCCCTGCAGTGCCACCCACTGGACTCGTCTTCCCTGCAGTGCCACCCACTGGGCTCGTCTTCCCTGCAGTGCCACCCACTGGGCTCGTCTTCCCTGCAGTGCCACCCACTGGGCTCGTCTTCCCTGCAGTGCCACCCACTGGGCTCGTCTTCCCTGCAGTGCCACCCACTGGGCTCATCTTCCCAATACTGCCACACACTGGGCTCATCTTCCTAATATTGCCACACACTGGGCTCGTCTTCCCAACAATACCATACACTGGGTTCATCTTCTCAGGTCGGTAATATAAAGTGGTCAACTGCTTGACAAATTGTCTATGTTGATATAGAAATCTGAATTTCATGGTCAGAACACTAACTTTCTGACCACTTGGTGACTCATCCAAAAAGTACAGCTGGAGAAAAGGCCAAGAGTCACCGCAATAATTAAATTTTCAGTTAAAATTTTGATTTTGTAAGATATTATCCTTAAATCATTTTAAAATTTTTGATAAAACCAAAGAAATGCAACTAAAAAATTAAAAATAAGATACATTGTTCTTTTTTATATGATGTCTAAAACATATACATTTTTCCATCTAGCTTTTGTGGCCAAACAATTTTTTTTATATTAATGAGTTCATGAAATCTTTAATAAGCACTAGTAAGTGCCACTGTCTTTAAATGCAGAATGTAAGCTTTTAAGTGTGGGACAAAATGAATCTATGTTATCATATAACAGACTATTTGAATTATTTATAGAAATTAACAGATCTAAGATATGAATTAAATAGCAGGGTAATTTGGACTTTCTAGCTTTGGTTGGCAGTCAGTCTAGCAGAGGAAAATTGAATTCCAAATCAAGGTGAAAGAGATCACTGCATTATTTCTCTCCAGGACATGTATTTAAATCAATAAGTCTGCCTGACGTATCATTCTGTGCTAAATGTTTAGCAGAAGTTTTCACTGTATAATGTTTGATTCGATTTGCAGCTTGAGAGGAGAAATTGTCATGATGACTTTGAATTCCAGTTTGTTAGATTCACTTTCACATAAATACTCTTATGAAAGGTATGAACCTATTGCTTATCCCTAAGCTATGGATTAAATAGCAGGTCATATTGATTTTTCTAGCTGTGGTTGGTAACCAGTCAAGAAGGACAATTTTGAATTCAAAACTGTTTCAAGTTCTGCAGCACATACTATGCAACCAGTTATAAGGTCATAAAGTTCACAATGACTACAATCTCAACCACATAAATTTATTATTATTATTATTTATTACAATGTTTGATTTGGGGTATTAATATTTATTACTGAATTAAGTCCATTGACAAGGAAGGAGATTATGTTACAAATTCACATTTACTGTGTATAATAAATGCTTTTTTATATTTAAACGCCGTGGATTTACTGATGTAGTTATATAGAGCTATACCAATTTATCACCTTAACTAAGTAAAACAAGAAATAAAGAAAAAAAATGTCTTCTCTTTTATATATTTGTAAACATGGCTCCCAACTATGGACTGTTTTGCTCAGTAGAATTCAAGCAGAAACAAAACATAAAATAGAGTAATCTTGAACATTCCTTTTGTTTTTATCTGTCTCTTCTTTTTAATTTTTATTATTGTTGCAATGACCCTACCATTGAACCAGTGTAAATCTTAGCCATTTTCTTGTCGAAGCTTGTAGATTGTTCTAAGGTAAACATGAAGCATTATTTTATTTTATTTTTTTATCATGCTCGTTGCCATTGTCATTATTGTCTTTCCTTTTGCTTTTTGTATTTGACATGGTCTTTTCAAACCAATTTTAATTTATCTCTTTCTGCCCACTTGTTCTATCCTTTTTTTATGTTCTCTCTTTTCATATATATATATATATATATATATATATATATTTCAAAGGAAGATTTTTCATGTTTTTTTAAATGCATTACACAATTTCTAATAGACAAGAAGAATTCTGTTATGACATGTTGGAAACGATTACTTCTTTGACTCTTTTTCATTTTCTTTTAACTTTACAGGTTTCAAATTTTTTGCCATTTTAATTCTTTGATTTATAATCTTTCTTTAGAGTTACCAATATTGTTGGTTCTAAAACACTTGTCTTTTTTAAATTAAAAAAAAAAATGTGATCACCCAATTAGATTTTGAAGTCAACAGTTCCACAGAGACAAGACAGACATTTTGTATAAAGAAAACTTGTCATTATATTTTTGGATATGTGCAATCTTTGGAGAATATTTTGCTTCTCACTTTTCATCTTACAAGAGTTGTTTTTCTCTCCCACTTCACATCTTAGGTGAGACTTCTGTCTGTAAATTCATTGCAGGAAAGACTATGGCTTCTTCCTTTTCCTCCTGTGGGAAATGCCTATCTCTGGCCTCTCTTCTTAAAGATAATTGATGCATTGCCTGTTATCTTAGAAGCAACTTCCTGCTCACTTGTCATTTGAAATGAGAATTTAGCCACTTCCCCTTTTAGCTTGGGAATGACGACTAACTCAATTGTTTTACTGCAGGAAAATCATCTCCTACTTTTTATCTGAGGGAAGATGTCAACCTCTTACATTCCATTCTAGAAGAGACATCTAAATTCTCACCTATTACTTCTCTCTCTTTGTCTGTTATCTTGGGAGAGACAATATTTTTTTTTTGCCTGTTGTCTTTGGAGAGATGTCTGCCTCTTCACTCATTATCTTTGGAGAGATGTCTGCCTCTTCACTCATTATCTTTGGAGAGATGTCTGCCTCTTCACTCATTATCTTTGGAGAGATGTCTGCCTCTTCTTTTTGGAGAGATGTCTGCCTTTCATCTTTATCTTTGGAGAGATGTCTGCCTCTTCACTCATTATCTTTTGGAGAGATGTCTGCCTCTTCACTTTGGGAGAGATGTCTGCCTCTTCACTCATTATCTTGGGAGAGATGTCTGCCTTTCACTCATTATCTTGGGAGAGATGTCTGCCTCTTCACTCATTATCTTTGGAGAGATGTCTGCCTCTTCACTCATTATCTTTGGAGAGATGTCTGCCTCTTCACTCATTATCTTGGGAGAGATGTCTGCCTCTTCACTCATTATCTTGGGAGAGATGTCTGCCTCTTCACTCATTATCTTGGGAGAGATGTCTGCCTCTTCACTCATTATCTTGGGAGAGATGTCTGCCTCTTCACTCATTATCTTGGGAGAGATGTCTGCCTCTGTAAATGCTCTTTTTTTAGTAATATATATAAATGGCTGGTAAATATTACTTGTGTGTTAACAATGCAGGATATTTTGTTCTACTGAGAATAAGTTTGGGAGACAGACAAAATTTAACCTTATTCGAATTTATCAAAGATAATGTGCCGTGATCCTATTCCTATATTCATTTATATCCTTGAATAAAATAGTTCACTATTTACATTATTCGGACTATTGTCCTCATCTTTGTTGCTATATTTATCACAACTGGCCTTTTTCGGGTGGTTGGAATGTTGAACTAAACCCTTTATTTCACTCACTGGGGTAGACTGTTCTAGTTCCATGTGCCATGTCTAATGGATGTCAGTTATCAGTTATCTCCTGTTAATTCCCCTCTCCAAGTTCCCCATCACCTTAACCAGGTATTGCTCTCTCACTGTTTGGGTCCTGTCACTGGATCTAACTAATGCCTTTATCCACTGTGCCATGTGTCCAAACAATGTAAATAGTGTACATAATACCTCATCTCAGAAATATAGACAGATAATAAAATAGTAATTTAACATTTATTTAATTTCTTCATAGATATTCACAAGGTTTATCTGAGTTTGACACAATTCTAAATATGAAGAGTGATTGTGTGGCACCTGTTTTCCAACTGGGAAGTTTTTGCTTGAAAACAATCAAATTGAAACAATTTGCTCAGTCTAACAGCATCTATAAAATAAATACAAATGCTTATTACTAAAATTAGCTTCGTTTGAAACACAGCCACAAGTCTAGGACACTCAGTGAGGATCAAACTCAACATATTGGACAAGCTCACTAAGCATTAACCTATAGTGATGTATACTATCCATTACTTTATATGTTAAAAAAAAAATATTGAATGTTCACTTATCTTGTCTCTACTCTGACTTATGTGAAATTATATCTGCAAGTCTCCTGAAGAGTGGATGTAATTCCATAAAACTCAGAGTAGAGACATGATAAGTAGGATATTTTATTATTAATGCTTTGTCTTGAAATTGAGCATTATCTTCCAGGAATGCCCAGGGGTTGACTGCTTTTTGGCTAAAGACAATCTTTGTTAGTGGTATTTAGAACGTTATGTAGATTTTGTTTCTGTATTATGTTGACATTTTTTTTTTAATCTTATTAGCAACTTTCAGATTACTGCATCTACCTATCTTTAAAATTAGCACATTTAACAATATTTAGGATTATTATATCTACCTGCCTTTAGGATTAGCACATTTAACAACATTTAGGATTATTATATCTACCTGCCTTTAGGATTAACACATTTAACAATATTTAGGATTAGCTCATTTAACAACACTTAGGATTATTATATCTACCTGCCTTTAGGATTAGCTCATTTAACAACACTTAGGATTATTATATCTACCTGCCTTTAGGATTAGCACATTTAACAACATTTAGGATTATTATATCTACCTGCCTTTAGGATTAGTACATTTAATAATATTTAGGATTTTGGCATTTACAATATTTAGGATTATTATTATATCTACCTGCCTTTAGGATTAGCACATTTAACAACATTCAGGATTAGCACATCTACTAACATTTAGGATTATTACATTTGCAACATTCAGGATTATTATATCTACCTGACTTTAGATTAATCACATTTACAACATTTAAGTTTATTATATCTACCAAACTTTAAGAGTATCACATCTACCAAAATAATTAAGTATGCATATGGTATTTTATTTTTAAAGTAACATAACAAAGCTAATTTAATGTGATAGTTATCATTCTATCCTGATGCAAAGGATGAACCTTTTCACTATGACATTGTCACTTACACTTAACATCAAAAAGAGACAATTGAAATTTCTAGAGCTCGTAGTAAGAAAAGGGGGCCTGGAAAATTTATTACTCACAGGACAGATTGAATGTATGAAGGATAGAGGATGTGTAACCTAACTAGAAAATGGATGGTAGAACAGGGTTTAGGAGAGATAACAAAAAGACAAAATTTATTATTAGATACAAAGGATAGGAAATTGTGGAGAACCATGATCGCCAACGTCCTGAAGGGACATGGCACATAGAAGAAGATTGTCAAACTCAAAAATCATATCAAGATAACTGGAGAAAAACATTTATTCTTTACTTTTTAATGATTTCAACAAAAGTCACTTTTTATGATCATTTTGAAACAGGCTCTTTCAGATAACACTAACCAACTGATAACATTAAATTAAGGACACAAAAATTGGAACAATCTACATTTAATGTTGTAAAGTTACTGTTATTAACACCTTTCCATAATAAATGCATTAATATTAGTTGTAATAAAAGTTCAGTAGAGACTGTTTATTGTAATCTGTTTGGGACAATGTCTTTTAGATAACAATAACTGATAACATTAAGTAACAAACTGAAAATTTGTAACATTCAACAATCGTTGTTGTAAATGATTTTTCTATTATAACTGAATTACTAGTAGTATGTCAGAGGCCACTTATTATGATCACTTTTGGGCAAGTTCTTTTTTTTTTTAAATAACTATAACCAGTTGATAACATTGATTAAAAATAATAAAAATTAAAATATTTTACATTCTTTGTTATAAAAAAAAAAATTAGCAATATAAAAAATTAATGTAAAATGTGTTTAGCACTGACTAATTAATTGTAACAACAACCCTTCTATTTAAAAATATCTTTAAAAAACACAATATTAAGCATCTTGGACTGGTTTTGCTTACTTTTATGTAAAAAATAAATTTTCTTATTTACATGAAACTTTTTCAAGGTTTTGTTTTTGTCTGGTTTGTTGTCAGGTTGGATTTGAAAACAAAATTGAAAAAATTTAATTATTATTTTCTTTTTTTCTTTTATTTATTTTTTTCCAGGCATACAAATTTGACAAAAATGTCTTTCAATTTAATCATTTGTTCAATTTTATATGGATATTTGTGATAAAAATAAGTTTTTGAATTTGATTTCTTTTCATTTTTGTTTTTTGTTGCTGTAATTTTATAAATAAAACTGTGTCATCTGAAATTGTGCTTGAATCATGTCAAGAGAAATCATGATTCAGCCGCACTAGAATTAGTCTCAGAACAATACTCTCAAATAGTAGTAAAAATGTAATACTACCACTAGGTAGGTATGTGCATGTATATATTGATAATATTAGTGGTCAGTATATATATATATATATATATATATATATATATATATCTCTCTCTCTCTCTCTCTCTCTCTATATATATATATATATATATATATATATATATATATATATATATATATATATATTAGTGGTCTCTCTCTCTCTCTCTCTCTCTCTATATATATATATATATATATATATATATATATATATATATAATGGTCTCTCTCTCTCTCTCTCTATATATATATATATATATAATATTGGTCTCTCTCTCTCTCTCTATATATATATATATATATATTAGTGGTCTCGCTCTCTCTCTCTCTCTATATATATATATATATATATATATATATTAGTGGTCTATATATATATATATAATATTAGTGGTATATATATATATATATATATATATATATATATAGTATATATATATATATATATATATATATATATATACACACACATTCTTTTTTTAGAGATACAAATATTTAAGTAAACGCTCTGTTTATAATAAACATTATTAAACAATCTTTACCAGCCAGAATGTCCAAGAAATTTTCATAGACACTGCAAAACCATTCAACACCTTGTGGGAGTATTTGAAAGGGCCTGTTAGCCAACGATCCGACAGATGCATGTATGTCTAGATGCAAGTGGAGGATTTTTTGAACATTTCTTATGAGTTGCTATGTTGATCATCATCATCTGCAAAGAGACTCTCCAGTATTCATTGCCATAAAAGTTTACCAATATTACATAACAATTCAGTAGTCTTTGTTTTTAACAAAAATTTTCCTGTTTTGTAATACTTTACTTGGCTTTTGGAAGGCATCTTTCACTATAATTCGCCTTCGAAATTTTGGTGTCGCGTTTTCCTTTCTCATTTAAAACACTTGTAGATATTTAAATTTTTGTACATGCTTGATTTTGGTATTTCCAATTCGTAGATTGCATTTTGGTCTGTTCCTTTTGCTGACAAATTCTATAATTGATTTTTTTTTTCCTTTCTTCTCTATTTCCTCTACCACTTTCTGTAGAAGTTCCTGCAGTTTCTATGTCTGCTATCAACACTGTGCCATCTGCATATCTAAGATGGTTAAGTTGTGTCCACCAATAATGAACCGTAGAAGGATTTCTAATTTTATCAGGATAAGCTCACTGTAAAGGTTGAATAAGTCCAGTGAGAAGACACACCCTTGTCTTACACCCCTGAAATTACAATTTGCAATATTAAAAGGAAAGTAATATTGCAAATTGTATTTTAAGGAAAGAGAATAATAATAATAATGATGATGATGATGATATTGCAACTTGTAATTTCAGGGAAGAGAACGAAAAGAATAGTAACTTGAAAATCACCAGTTATTTGAAGATTTAATTCACTTTACTAATTTAAAGAGTACAATTGATTAGTCAACATTTCATCCTAATCAAACAGTAGCCTCATTTGTTTCTCAGACCGAGAAGAGGTGCAAAATTGTTATTTCTCATTAGTTAATGTGAATGCATTTGTTTAAGTTGAAACCAATTAGAAAAGTAGGAATATAAACATCAGAGCAAACATTTTTTTTCCCTCATTTTTTGACTGAATACTTAAAAAACAAAAAAAAAAAACAAAGCCCCCCCGACCTGCATCTTTCAGCACCTTCCCAAAAAAAACAAGGTATATAAATACTTATAGGTTTTCTTCGATATTTGAACTTCAAGTTTTTTTTTAAGCTGATATTGTTATTTTCCTATTTGGTTCAATGTCAGTGAAGTCAAGACATTGAAATATTAAAGCTATCCCAGGTAAATTGTTTGAGAGTTGGGAAAAGTATTGCTGGGGGGATTTTTTGCCGGCCAACTTCAAAATACCATGGAACTCCAAATAATGGTTTAAATTTTGAAACCTTGCAT